CAGCTCCTGAGCACAACTGTAAGAGGGATATGGCTGACCCCTCACCTGCTCTCCTCCCCACGCTGTCATCCACAAGTGCAGACAGCAAGGGCTTCTCTCGCTCAATCCACTCTGAGTCAGAGCTGCCAAGAGTACAGTGGCCATGAGCAAGCATGTGAAGGAACAAGAGTCAGAGGCCTGGAGACAGACCTGGCTTCCAGAAGCTCTCCCAGCCAGTGTCAGCACCGACCAGGGGACAGCTCCTCACCCCAGAGCCTGTCCAGCCAGCGTCAGCACCGACCAGGGGACAGCTCCTCACCCCAGAGCCTTCCCAGTCAGCGTCAGCACCGACCAGGGGACAGCTTCTCACCCCAGAGCCTTCCCAGTCAGCGTCAGCCCTGACCAGGGGACAGTTCCTCACCCCAGAGCCTGTCCAGCCAGCGTCAGCACTGACCAGGGGACAGCTCCTCACCCCAGAGCCTGTCCAGCCAGCGTCAGCACCGACCAGGGGACAGCTCCTCACCCCAGAGCCTTCCCAGTCAGCGTCAGCACCAACCAGGGGACAGTTCCTCACCCCAGAGCCTGTCCAGCCAGCGTCAGCACTGACCAGGGGACAGCTCCTCACCTGGGCAGCCAGACTTCAGCTTTGCAGAGTCCAACCAGGGGGTCAGAGGAAGGCTGCTGTCCAGAGTCACTCCCCTGACACCTGGGGTTAGGTTCTGGGACAGGGTGAAGGCCCCACAGGCCCAGGCAGCACCACCTAACATGGGGCCACCCTCCCCAGAGAGAACAGTGTCCCCTGACTTGGAACTGGAGAGGAGATGATACCACAGTGCCTCATTTTCTGCCTTTCCTTTCTGGTGCTGAGGGCAGAAATTCAAACACTTCCTGTCGTTGGTCAGGACAAGGTCAGCTCTCACTTGATTTCTGAGTTTTTCTTCACTCCAATTCCATTCACTACCTCAGAGCCCCTGGGGGACAGGTTCCACGTGTCCCCGGGATGCGTGGTGAGGCAGGTGCAGCTCCACGCAGCACGAATGCGTGCTCTCATGACTTTGAGGCTGTGCTATCAGGCACATCCAGATTTAGAATAACTACCATCTTGGTAGATTTACCCTCTTACCAGTAAAATGTGTTTTCTTTATCCAAGTAAATTTCTTCTGCCTTAACAGCGAAGGTTTTTTATTATTATTTTTGACAAGCAGAGTTAGTGAGAGAGAGACAGAGAGAAAGGTCTTCCTTCCATTGGTTCACCCCCCAAATGGCTGCTACAGCCAGCACGCTGTGCCAATCCGAAGCCAGGAGCCAGGTGCTTCCTCCTGGTCTCCCATGCAGGTGCAGGGCCCAAGCACTTGGGCCATCCTCCATTGCACTCCCAGGCCACAGCAGAGAGCTGGACTGGAAGAGGGGCAACCAAGACAGAATCCGGTGCCCCAACCGGGACTAGAACCCGGGGTGCCGGTGCCACAGGCAGAGGATTAGCCTATTGAGCGGCAGCACTGGCCATACAGCGAAGGTTTAAAGTCTCCTTTGATGTATGTGGCTGCAGCTGCTTCCCACAAGCCAGTGTGTGTAGGACCTGCTTGTTCATCCGAGCCAAACGCCGGATGCCCCGCTCGGCTTCTGGCACCCTCTGCTGACAGCTCTGCGGTGCTGGCGCAGGGACCCGGGACACTGTGTTTCTGAGTTGCCAGCTGTGCTCTCCCTGGGAAGGGGCCTCTCGGCTTCATTTTGCATCTTTTGGAAGCCACTCAGGCTCCTGAACTTCTGGAAGCATCAGGGTGCGCTTGTGTTTGGTTTCCACAGTCGTGCTTGTGAACTGTTCACTGCACTTGGTGTTCGACACACTCCTCAGATTCACTGCTGCTTCCCTCGTCGGCTCCCTGGGCAGTCAGCACCCCTCAAACGTGCCCCTGCCACCCCCTCCCTCCCCTCTTCCTTTGACTCCAACATTGCACCTGCCACACCTTCCCTTGGGGTCCCCACTGCTTCAGCACCCT